GAGGGGCAATCAAATCTCTTCAAAAACATTTTCTCATCAATTCAATTCTTGATAAATCATTCATCATTAATGAGTTAATGACTCACTTGGATATAATAAGTCATACTTGAATACATAGTAAGTGATCCGCCCAAAGGGTAAAATGTTTTTTATTCAAACATATTTTTTTACTTTTGGTATGCGGTTGTGGGTATATTGCACTTAGGATGCTATGTAATCATTTGTAACTTTTTAATAAAATGTTGTATATATATATATATTTATTTATTTATTTATTTATGTATTAAATCAATTGATTTGACCAATTTATTGGATATACATATATACTGCAAACGTAATTTATAAAAAAAACACATTTTTTTTGGAACGGAGATATTTGGTTGATTGGCAACTTAAATTTTCTAAATTTTTATATTTTTTTTGTTTAATAGTTGGTGGTTTTTGTGTCAATTTATGTACATCTCGACTAATCCTATCCCCGGTCCTATCAAAGACTATGTCGGAATTAAAGTATTCATAAAGGTAAATCCCTAATAACTTGACTCCAAAAAATTATTAAAATTTAAACTTAAAATATCTAAATTTATAGTTTTTATGAGACTTCTGAATTTATAATTTCCTTTTCATTAGTATTTATTGTCGTGAAAGGGTACTGGACAACTCTCTCTGATATCTGCATGCCCGGAAGATAGCTGGCCAACAATAAAGCCCAAACAATTTTTTTTTCAATAAATTCGATTAAAATTTGAGCAGAGTAAAATTTATTTTTTTACATATTAAAATTTGAGTTGATTAAATTTTTTACATATTAAAATTTGTCCTGATTAAAATTCGATTCAGGCTGATTAAATTTTATTTTTTTACGTATTATTCGAGCTATTAAAATTTATTTTTTATATATTAAAATTCGAGTCGATTGAAGTTCAACTTGAGTTGTTAGCGCTAATTAAAATTCAATTCGAGTCGATTAAAATTTATAGTTTTTTTACTTATTAAAATTCATGCCAATTAAAATTTGATTCAAATTGATTAAAATTTATTTTATACATATTAAAATTTGAGTCGATTAAATTTATATTTTTTTATGTATCAAAATTCAGGCCGATTAAAATGCAATGCAAGTTGATTAAAATTTGATTCGAACTAATTAAAAAAGAAATTTATTCGACTTTAATTAAATTTTAGTCAGTTCTAATTTTAATACGTACAAAAATTTATAAGATGAAAAGAGTCTCATTGAATATATGTCTATCTAGAGGGGGTGTGAGTGAGATTTTTTCTAAAATATATTATAGACACTTTAGTAAAATTATATTCTAGTTAAACTCTTTAACTTGACAAGAGGTACATATGAATATTCAAAAACTAGAGAGTATAATTGAAGATATGATAAATTAGAGGGAGTGTGAATAAAATTTTCCCTAAACAAAGAGAAAAACGAAAAGCCCAAACCCAATATTATTTTTTTTTTGGGAAAATTGGAAGAAGGCACACTCAATTAGACTTAATTGTGAAAAAATATATATAAAAATATATTGGGTAATTAAGTCCTTAATTTTGATATTTATTTGTATCAAAGTACATTATTTGAATTTTACTGATTTTTTTGTAACATTTTTGCTCTCTATTAATCCATGTGTATTTAATGCACCACTTTTCAAAGAAAACTTTATAGGAAACCTTTAATATATATATATATACACACTTATATAAATACGTATCTATGTATGTATGTATATACTTGTTACATCTCTTATCTTAATTTTGAATTATCTTTTAATGCACCTTAATTCATGCATTTTTTTTTTTAGAAAGTGATTTTATTTTTAAATTATTTTAATATCCGAATAGTGTAATAATGTAATAATAAAAATGTAATAGTGTAATAATAAAAGTGTAACAGTGTAACAGTATAACAATAACAGTGTAACAAGCTATTTACATAAAATATTGTACTATTACATTTTGTTAAACATATAGTTTCACATAATTTCATTCAAAATAGTTCATCTCTGTTTTGAATTTGTTACCATATGTACAAAATTACTGAATATTGTTTTTGCTACAGTGTATTTGTTATACTATTACACTATTCAGATATTAAATTAATTTAAAAATAAAACCATTTTCAAAAAAAAAACGCTTGAATTAAGGTGCATTAAATATAATTTAAAAATAAAATTACTTTCCAAAAAAAAAAATACGCATGAATCAAGGTGTATTAAAGATAATTCAAAATTTAAATAAAAGATTTAACAACAAATGTATATATATATATATATATAATTGTTTATTTATATACATATTTACATGTATTAACAAATACACATGAATTAAGGTGCATTAAATACGTATTTATATATATTAACAAATATACATGAATTAAGATGCATTAAAGATAAGAGAGTTTGAATTAAATGACCCTAAAATAAGCATTTATTTCTTTGTAACTCAGCTGTGTATTTTTTTCCAAAATATTTTGTTCTATGTATTTTTTGTTAAATAAGTCTAATTAGGTGTACCGGCTTCCAAAGAACTTTTTTTTTCTTTTTTCAAATAAAAATAAATGGGCCCATGAATCTAAGTGTTTTGAAGCACAATAAATACAAGTCCAATAGTATCATCTGCGACATATTAATGATGAAAAAAGAAAAAAAAAATTGATTTGAATACAAGATAAGTGATATAAAGTCAACGAAAAGAGTAACGCTCCATTGAAACCTAAAAATTGTATTTAATCTATTGAGCTAATGATGTGATTTTATTATAACCGTTAAATTAGCAGTAAATTTTAATATTTGATAAAATTCATAATCAATTCAAATGAATATAGTAAATTAGTTAAATAAATTATATTAATAAATTAAGTCTCAACAGCAATAACATTGCTCTAAATTGAAACAGGTCAAAGACAACATGTTTGCATGCAGGCAAAGGGACACAATATATGACTCGGTAATTCGTATGTCATTTCAGTGAAAAATGCTGCTTCTGATTTTCCAACCTACGGGGCCGGTCCACGTTTACATCTCTTCTCGTAAGTACAACGGCGGCCGATGGTAGGAATGCAATTTCCATAAATGCTACTGTTGCACACAGCCGAGCCCGGAATAAGACTTTTGTCTGCGAAAGAATGGTGGGCTGAGACAGGATTGGGGACGGGGAGAGGAGGACGTCGCTTAGTTGCAGAAGGGGCCGTACTTGAGGGGCGTCCTGCTACTCTCACCTTACTGGGCTTATCTGCAAAAAAAAAAAAAAAAATCATGAAAATGAAATATCAGTGAGAGAAAAAAAAAAAGAGGGAGAGAATATCCGATGTGACTATGCCACTTAGGACTGTTAACGGATCTTGGTCTATCTAAATTTGAATTTAGTAAAAAGCATTGTAGTTTTGAATCCAATTCGTTTATCCAGCAAACTTTAAAATCTTAATTCATATTCGCATCGGTTAATAATCTTAAATTATGATTATCCGATCTAATTTTAAAATTTGAATCTTAACAAAATTTCATAAAAAATTAATAATTTTATCAAATTTTAGTTAACTTTCAACTTAATTTAATTAACTAATTATTCTATTAAATAATTAATGTTTAATTTCATGTCAATCTCATTAATAATCGAACTTATATATATATATAGATATGAGATCAATTTTGTATTGAATCAAATTTACATGTATTTAAATTCAAATCCATTTTAAAAAATATAATCAAACTCAAATCAAATTCGAGTAAACATATTACAATATTAATCCATATCCGATTAAATAAACTCGGATTCGGATTAATCATCTTCCTATGCCTGTCTGCAAAAAAACAGTGAGAGAGAGAGAGAGAGAGAGAGAGAGAGAGAGAGAGAGAGAGAGAGAGAGAGCGCTTTTACTGCTAGGTTTAGGGGCTAGTACTAGTCCTGCGGGGACGATGATGAGCCAAATGATGAAGCAGCAGCATACGATCATGAAAGCAAGGGAAGAAGGAGTTTTGTATGACATTTTTGCAATATGATCTGAGGGAGGATGCATGGGCATGGCAACCACAAACGTATATATATATGCCTTCCACCACATGAACTTGATAAGGGTGAAAGAAGACTCCAAAGACTTGTGTTTGGGAAAATTATGCTTTGACCACCTAAGTATGATTATTTTTAATATTACCCCTTCAACTATTATTTTTTAAAAATTTTGAGTTTCGATATCTTTCCTATATCCAAATTCACTATTTATTTATTTAGTTATTATAGCGGGATGACCTTTCGTGACCAACACGTGATTTGGGTAAATGAGTATATTTATCTAGTGAAAAAACTTGTTTACATAGGTTAGAGAACCTTAAATTATTTCATTTGATTTGAAGAAAAAGAAGATAACAAACCCAAAAAAAGAAGATATAAAATGAAAATTTGAGATGTACCATAACACCAAGAAATTTATATCTATTTATCTAAGAGAGATATTTTACACTGAATAAATATACTTTTACAAACCAGTCATGTGATATCCCTCTATCAAAATAAATTAATAAATCTGAATGGAATAATTGAATTAAAACTCTGTTAAAACATTTAGGATGTAATTATTGCAATTGAAACTTTAGAGACTAAATAAAAATTAGTTGTATGCTTTAAGGATATAAATTATAAATTACCCCAACAATTAACATCCCTAATAAATTTGACAATTTTTTTTTATTTTGTCCTCCAAACTATGTAATTTGTTTCATTTTACCCCCGACACATTGAAAATTTTTGTCGAAAAAGATAACTAACATTTACATACAGAGTAGTGTGAAATAATTCAAATAGTTGATGAGGCAATGTAAAACATTTAATAGTTTAAGTGGCAAAATAAAATAAAATCCATAATTAAAGGGATCAAAAGTATAATTTTCCCAACTCGTNGCAATGTAAAAAATTTAATAGTTTAAGTGGCAAAATAAAATAAAATCCATAATTAAAGGGATCAAAAGTATAATTTTCCCAACTCGTTTTAAAAGTTGGAAAATTTGCTCTTTGTGACTTCGAAATGGTAGGTTGACTACTGGGAGAGTGGCAAATACGTCGATGACAGCCAGCTTCATGGAGATGGAGATGTCTCTCGCATGACTTTTTGTGATCAAGCATATAATTATTTTTATGTATATTTATATATTGATATATAAATATAATTAACTATTAAAACAAATAATAATATATCAATAATAGAGAAAAAAATATATATAGAAAGTGTGAGGAGAAATTTAATAGTGAGTCACAATTCCCTAAAAATTAGTTACAAGACAAAAAAATCCTTACGTGATTCATTAATATAGTAGATTGTTTACCGTGTATTCAAGTAGAACTACTATCTATAAGTGAGCTTGTCATTTATACATTGCGAGTAATCTATAATTGAATGAAATTGAGTAAATATGACCCATGGTTCAAAGTTTTGTTTGGTTCCAAATTTTCGATTTGGGATTCAACACATGGTAATGCGGGTTATTGCTATCCTAATGCAGTTGGTCTCAATGTGATTGTTAATGCTAATAACTATTTTGTTTAGTAAGGACAAGCTATCCAAGTCACTAGTCATTTTTTTTTNGCACGATTGTGCCTAGAGTTTAGGGGATTAATAACACAAATTTCTTTCCGAAAGTGTTAATGTGATTCATGTCACGACTCACCCAAAAGAGTTAGTCAATAAGTTGTCATTTGGGTCGTTGTTTTCATATATATACCCCAGACTATCTTTGCAAATTTTTGATTTGGAATTTTGCACATGCCAATGCCGATTATCACAAATCCTAGTGCCANTATATACCCCAGACTATCTTTGCAAATTTTTGATTTGGAATTTTGCACATGCCAATGCCGATTATCACAAATCCTAGTGCCATTGGTTTCAATGTGATTCCTAATTCTAATAACTATTTTGTTTAGTAAGGACAAGATATCCAAGTCACTAATCATGCTAGGATAGCTATCCAAGTTACTAATCATGCGATGATGGGAGGATAGATTTTATTAATTCCAAATTAAAGATAACAAATTGCTAGGGGAGGACATAAATCTTACCCCTTAAAATAAATATAAATACATTACGATAAAATTAATTTCTTGATATTTACAAATCAAAGAATTCCAACTAAAGTCTACGAAAAAGTGACTTTAATTTCACCAAGAACCAAAAAATCTGATACTCCATTAGATGTAATATAGCCTAGATGGAATGTAGATAATATTTCCTCCTCAATGCTTTGATTTCTCGTTGATCTTGCAGCACCAATAGACGAGTCATTCAACTCATGCTTGCAACGCAAACTCAGATATACGAACCATTAGCAAATTGCATGTGTATCAGTCAAGTTCATATTTAAAGCAGCTAAGGACATTTAAACTCAAGATGTACGAGTTTTCATTTACGCCTTGTAAGACCACTTAGCTAATCTACACAAGTTAATGCGAATAACTATTTAAAAGAGTTGCTAAACTAAGAAATTTATAGAAAATTAGGTATAAAATTGACATAGAGCAAAAAAGTTGAAGAAAACTTGTCAATAAACCCTGTGTAAGTATAAAGCAATAAGGAACAGTTCAAATGGTAGGTCCACAATAATGAAGAAAATTGAGAGGAAGAGAGGTCATGAGGATACAAACATTGACCTTGGGTCAACCTAGTCTACTGAAAGACAAAGTCAAGTGTCCCCAAAGATTAGATGTTCTGTCGGATTCCTTTTTAGATTTTCTCTATTATGGCCTTGTATGCAAGTTATCATTTCGGATGGTTCATCCTCTTTCTATGAGAAATTTACCCAATAATGGTGTAAATTTTTATCAGGATTGTTGAATCTTATGACTTGATCACAAAGAATTATCAAAATTCAAATTCAAATAATTTATGTTTACAATTCGTTTTTATTACCATATCAGTATACAATTTTGGAGATAAAGCCAGGAGTAGTTATGAAAAATGTAAACCTTTTTGCCAGACTTCTTTGGGATTGGGGAAATAGAACTTTTGTCAGTTGAATAATGTGTTATAATTGAGTGATTTCTATGTACTCTCATCTTCCTAGGTCTAAAGGAGAAAATATTTAATGTAATAGTGATACCATGATAACATTTATACATGATATATTACAAACCAATAACAAATGAACAAATATGTAAAGTAAATCCCATTGTTAAAGTAACTAGAGATAATTACCGCATTCAACAATTTTTCTTTGTGACACACCCCTCTCTTTGGGGTGTCGATTCCTCCTCCCCCTCCCACTCCCACTTCCACCCCTCTCTTTCCTGATGAGCAATATATACTAACTCATTTGGGATTTTTTTTATTTTTCAATTTTGGACCTATATGCAACTTTTGAATTCAACTATGGATTTAATTTTGTGTGGGGTCTAAGATGGACCGTCTATTCTTATGTGACTCACGTCGCTTTTATATTTATTTTCCAATCCCTGGATTGATATGCAGGCAAGACTTTGACTTTAGGTGAAGCTAATCTACGTATGATTACGTCAATGCTACCTAAATTCTTTGCCCCTAACTATACTCTATTTTTCATGACCGAATTAATAATTAGAAATAAGTTTATATTTATTTTTATCGTTTTCTTCTTATTTGATTTAAATACTAGGGTTTTTAGTCTAGTATCACCTGTGATAGTCCTAAATGAAAGGTTACGGATTGAGACCAATGAAAGACATGTTTTTCTCTAATGTATCTCTTTTACTATAATTTGACACAGATAAATTAGTTGTCTAACAGCATATTAGGGAAGTTTTTCTTCTTCCATTGAAAAAAGAGCCCACGAGATCAGGTTTCACATGATTTAATGAATGCCCACAAGCTATTTTTTCTATATGATTAGAACTATAAGAGGGATTGCCGAAAAAAATCTCTGCAACAATTTTTGGGGTCCAATTGAAGCTTTTAATTTTTTTTTTAATTATTAATACAACTACTAAATAAGATAATTGAACAAATGACCTCCACTCCCTTAACGTGGGGTTAAACGTGTTGGGGTTCTGTCCAACTGAAACTTATACGGCCATAGTTTCTAATACCTTGTCAATGGCCTTTGGTTCTACGATACGTCTTTCATATAGNACAAAGACAGTTTTGTACATCATCAGTTACAATTCCCTAAAAATTAGTTACAAGACAAAAAATTCCTAACACCTTTCACAGAAGTTGAACACTTTAATCATTAATATGAGAAAATAAATATAAGAATTTGAATAAAAACCAACATGAGAAAAGAATAGGCTCCGATCTCATACAGATTTGCTTGCAAGCTCTCTTGCAGCCATTGTTTTCCCTGTCCCTGGAGGTCCATAGAAAAACATGTTTCGAAATGGTGCCTGATGGGATTTCGTATTGGTGGTAGCACTAGTCAACTGCTGAATTCGTTTCTGAAGAGAAGGGTTTAATTTTTTAATGAAATCTCGACGATTCGAGGATAGATTTTATTAATTCGGAATTAAAGATAACAAATTGATAGGGGAGGACATAAACCTTAACCCCTTAAAGTAAATATAAATACATCCGGATAAAATAAATTTCATGATATTTACAAATCAAAGAATTCCAACTAAAGTCTACCAAAAAGTGACTGTAATTTCACCAAGATCCAAAAAATCTGATTCTCCACTAGATGTAATATAGCCTAGATGTATGGAATGTAGAAAATATTTCCTCCTCAATGCTTTGATTTCATGTTGATCTTGTAGTCCTAACAGATGAGTCATTGAACTCATGATTACAACGTAAATCTCTTAAGTACAAACCATCAGCAAATTGCATGTGTATCAATTAAATTCATATTTAAAGTAGTTAAGGACATTTAAACTCAAGATGTACGAGTTTTCATTCACGCCTTGTAAGACTACTTAGCCAATCTGTGCAAGTTAATGCGAATAACTATTTAAAAGAGTACATAAAGTAAGAAACTTATAGAAGTTTAGGTATAAAATTGATATAGAGCAAAAAAGTTGAAGACAACTTGTC